GGTGTGGGCGAAGTCCTATGAGTTGTCTGTTTTGGAGCTTCTAAACGGAGAAACACTAGTTTAGCTTTAGGGATCCGGTTGCGGTTCTAGTTCTTATATCCAATCATACACTAGAGATCTTGTCATATTTGACTCTAAAAACACTAACAAAGCTTCTTAATGCCTCTCAAAACTTTTTGGGTGTGGCCGAAGTCCTATGAGATTTTGGTTTAGGAGCTGCTAAACGGAGAAACACTAGTTTAGCTTTTGGGATCTAGTTGCGGTTCTAGTTCTTATATTCAATCATACTCACGAGATCTAGTCATATTTGACTCCAAAAACACTAACAAAGATTCTAAATGCCTCTCAAAGCTTTTTGGGTGTGGCCGAAGTCCTATGAGTTTTTGGTTTTGGAGCTTCTAAACGGAGTGACACTTCTTTAGCTTTTGGGATCCGGTTGCGGTTCTAGTTCTTATACCCAATCATACACATGAGATCTAGTCATATTTGACTCCAAAAACACTAACAAAGCTTCTTATTGCCTCTCAACGCTTTTTGGGTGTGGCCGAAGTCCTATGAGATTTTGGTTTTGGAGCTTCTAAACGGAGAAACACTAGTTTAGCTTTTGGGATCCGGTTGCGGTTCTAGTTCTTATAATCTATCATACACACGAGATCTAGTCATATTTGACTTCAAAAACACTAACAAAGCTTCTTAATGCCTCTCAAAACTTTTTGGGTGTGGCCGAAGTCCTATGAGATTTTGGTTTAGGAGCTTCTAAACGGAGAAACACTAGTTTAGCTTTTGGGATCTGGTTGCGGTTCTAGTTCTTATATTCAATCATACACAAGAGATCAAGTCATATTTGACTCCAAAAACACAAACAGAGCTTCTTAATGCCTCTCAAAGCTTTTTGGGTGTGGCCGAAGTCCTATGAGATTTTTGGTTTTGGAGCTTCTAAACGGAGAAACACTAGTTTAGCTTTTGGGATCTAGTTGCGGTTTTAGTTCTTATATTCAATCATACTCACGAGATCTAATCATATTTGACTCCAAAAACAC